TCTTTTGTTTCTTAACAGGACACTGTCCAGAAATGCTTAGGTGGTTTCCTTTGCAATGTATGCATATCGCTTTATTTATAGATCGACGTGGTCCGGCAAAACATTACAAGCGAATGTGATGGCCACGGTGCCCGTCGGCTGCAGCAAACTGCATCCTGCATCATTCTTATGTTTCCTCATTATCCTTTTAACACATATTATCTTTCTGTAAGTCGTTAACATACCAAAAATTCTTGAATTAGAAAGATTAGTGGGAACATTGGTTATGACTCCTGTTATTTCTGTCCCTACAGCTGGGATAGACGCCTTCATTTTGTATTCATTAAGAAAAGTAATATTATTTAAAAATGCATTCGCTAGAGAGGGCTTTTCAAAAGGAATACCTATTTTGTATTTATTCATAGATTGAAAATATTTAATGCCTTTATTGAATCTCTTCATATGTGTGGACAGAGAGATCATGTCCCGCGTGCCGATTGGCCTTCTTTCATTATTTGATTCGACAAATACAACAAAATCAACGAGAATAGAGTCCTCAGGGTACCTCCTGTTGTAGTCAGATACAAAGTACGGCTTATACTTGCGCTGCTCTTTTTCAGGATCTTCCTCAGTACTGGTATCAATTTCTTCCTCCTCAGTCGTTTCTTCAAACACTTCTTCTCCCGGAAACTTCTTTTTTCTATGTTTCCTCATGATGGCGAAACCCAGTAACAGTAAACAATAAAAGTTTAGTGCCTTTTAACTAAATAAAACAAAATTAAAATTTTAGTTTAAAAAAAGGCGCCTATCACGTTTCAAGGTTCCCGCGCTTTTCCTAACGAACTTCTTCTTCTTCTTCTTAATAACTGGCTTTACGGCTCTGGGATCTAGCCCTTCTCAGCCTGTAGTTACAATATATTATGATAATTATCCTTCCTAGTATACTGCTTCACAAAATATTGATGCGTCACATTGTGCAGCCCTTGGGAGATTTTGACGGCAACTTGAGCCAGCAGACAGCTGACGGTTGGCGATGGTATCTCAAGGCGCCTAAGCAGACAGAATCACATCACCATCAGAGCACTTGTATCATAGTTTCCACTAATAGTTCACATGGGCAGACACTTAATACACAAAATCGCACCACTTTTACATATCAAAGTCCACTTCAAACCATTATTTAAACAATAATACAGGAGCAGCAAACCGCCGTCGGTCAAGTTCCCGCCAAAAATCCTGATAACGAACCAGGATGACGCAACCGCAGACTAACTAGTAGATTCTACCCGAATGATGCAACTTTGTATGAAACGTAGAAAAATAAATATTTGATAAATATGTAGCAAGCTTCAAGTCTTAAGCCGCGTCTCCACCAAAGTTTTGGAGCTTATGGCCTGGTATCTAGACCTTTAGGCCAAACCAAAGTTTTGTTACCAACTGTTGTGTTGCCAACACCTGTTGGTAACAAATGTTTCTGTAATTACCTAGTGTTGGCAACAAAACTTGAAACAATGTCGGGAACCGTGTTTGAATTTTCGGCGGCAACATCAAAGGAATACGCTTTTTGCAAACATTTGTTCCTTCGGTGGAGACGCCCGTTGGAAACATTTGTCGGCAACATCGGAAACAAATGTTGGTAACTATTGTTTAGTTGGAAACAGTTGGAAACATAAATTTTGTCAACATTTTTGGTGGATACGCGGCTTTAACGACGTTTACGGAGTGAACACTACAAATTAACGCACCGCCACCACACTGTCTGTTATTGGTTTGTCCGCCTCCGTTTTGAAAATTTCGACCTGAAAAATGAACCCCGTGGTCGTCCAAAAACTGGTCGACAATAACGAATTAAAGGCGGTTGTGGAAGCTAATGATACTCAATCTACGGCTGAATTAGCACTAGCTTTCAACGTTAGCATCAAAACAAAACAATATAATAATTGGTGGATACGCGGCTTTAAAGCCGTGTATCCACCGAAAATGTTGACATTATTTATGTTTCAACCATGGAGGTTAGAGACTCTCTAATCTCCATGTTTCCAACTGTTCGCAACTCAACAAAAGTTACCAACTTTTGTTCCGATGTTTTCGCACCGAATTGAAACATGTCGCCAACAATTTGAGAAATATTTTAATTGACAACTTGCTGTCTTCACCAAAGTTTTGTTGGCAACAATATGTCTTCAAGTGACGATATTATGCAGGCAGCCGCAGTATTTATAATTTTATGCAAAAAAATACCAGTAGTTTTGGAGTTATCCTTAATAATGCGTCACCATCATCATCATTACAGCCCTTCACAAGTCCACTGCTGAACATAGGCCTCCCCCAAAGAATGCCACAAAGCACGGTCCTGAGCCACCTGCATCCATCGACTTCCTGCATGCCTTACCAGGTCGTCACTCCATCTCGTGGGGGGACGCCCTACACTTCGCCTACCGGTACGAGGCTGCCACTCGAGAACCTTTCTTCCCCATCGGTTGTCGGTTCTTCGAGCTATATGGCCGGCCCATTGCCACTTCAGCTTACTAATCCGTTGGGCTATGTCGGTTACTCTGGTTCTACTGCGGAAATCCTCATTCCTAAGTTTATCACGCAGAGAAACTCCGAGCATAGCCCTCTCCATAGCTCGCTGAGCGACCTTGAGCTTCCTCATCCGGCCAGCAGTGAAGTACCACGTCTCAGTTCCGTATGTCATCACTGGCAACACGCACTGGGTGTACAGTCTCGTTTTCAAGGTTTGAGGTATACCTGACGAGAACATGTGCCGTAATTTCCCGAACGCTGCCCAACCGAGTTGAATCCGTCGATTGACCTCTCGGTCGAAGTTGGACTTACCTAGTCGGACTATTTGTCCCAGGTAAACATACTCGTCAATAATGCGTATTAATATTGAAATCAGTTTTAGGTAAAAAATTTAATTTCATTAGTTGTCTCTCTTCCTCTCTTTTTAAAAAACGTTACCTCCACACTAGGATTTGACCCTGTATCGAAAGAACAGTTTACATACATAGAACAGACCTAGAACAATTATTTCTAGGCCATACAAATACTTTTTCCGTCCGGGATTCGAACCCGCGGCCCTTAGCGCTGCAAGCCATTACTGAACCACTGCGCCACAGAGCCGTATTATATATATAAACACATAGCTGATGTGAAGAATAGACGCTCCGGGAAGTCTGCAGTCTGTGAACATGTACAGGATCGCCCCCGTCACTACATTAGATTTGATAGACCACAAATCCTCGCTAAAGAACACCGATTCCTTTCAAGGATGATTCGCGAGGCTATTGAAACAACATCCTAGTTTCAATAGAGAAGATGGCTGGGTGCTACCATCTGCTTGGGATCCCATAATTAATAAAATTAAATCCCAACCCAAGCATACAACTGCAAGACTTCATGATACTGTAAGTTCATACTGCGTAGATCGGAACAAAAATTAATAATTTTTAATCTGGAGGTAGCCGTGGTCAACTATGACATTGGGACGTCATACACCTCAGTCCCCCCCGTGACCATGGGTGCTGTAAATTGCTTGAAACGTCGGGAATGTAAAATAAGTTAATATACGCGATAAAATCCGTAAAATTAGTTTTATTTAAATGTGTAGTGTTCGCGTAAATATAAGAAATCATTATTCTTTCACATTGAAAATATTTTCTGAAATTTATTTCATAGGTTTAGATTTTAATATTTATTCTTTATTTTTGCTTTAATTTAGTTATTATAGGCTCAGAATATTATGGGTGAATACACAGTCATAATATCGTCGTGAATATACTGAAGTATAAACGTATAGACGCGTGTTTCAGTTTTTTAGTTTAGAGATGGCGTTCTTCTCTCAGTAGAGAGCACAGACTAACTAGTAGATTCTACCCGAATCAGACGGACATCTCACGAACCAAACTTACTCGACTTAGCTTCTGCATCCTGATTGGTTGTAGCCACAAACTATATAGAAACACTATAAATATATAGGTATATATATATATATATATATACAATTTATAGGTACGCGTTGTTGTAGCAAAATGACAAATGACATTTCTTTTTCTTTTTTAATTTGAAACAACTATACCAGGCAAAGGACGTCCCAAATAATAGCCACTTGCAAAATTAATTTTATTATATTGAAAATAAAACGAGGTAAATACAAATGAAACAAATGAAACATATTCAAATTTAATATTGTTTTATTAGTTATTAATTTTTACTTTACAATAATTTTGTTTACAAATTTAATAATTAACTTATTAATATATACAATATTAAAAAAAAACTTTAATTAAAGAAAACCAAAACTAATTAGGTACTTAATTATCATACAGTCCCCATTTTAACTTTACAATAATTTTGTTTACAAATTTAGAATCAGACCAGTTTTTTTGATCCCATTTTAGCTTATTAATACTATAATAAAATAAAATAAAACTAGTAGCTTCATTATCATATAGTCCTACTCCCCGCGGTATCGCGCCAAGAACGCTGGCTGAGTTTCCTCGCTGAATGGCTATACTTAGCTTTTGAGTGAGAAAAGAACTAACCCTCTATTAAGAATTAATGGATAAGTATCAATGTAAGAGTCACCATTTTCACCACTTTCGTTACTCACTTCCCTTTCATGTCCTTTAAACAGGCTCTTTATTTTTAATAATAGTGCACTAACATCATCTCCATAATTACAAGATGAGTGATGAAATTTAATGAAACCCGTAATTAATAAAGATTTAAAAGCATTTATGAATTTGTGGCAAGTTGGATTATTGTCCCTAAAATTATATGATCTTATTTGACCGAAAAAAATTTAGATGATATCGGAATGTATATAGCTGGGTCTCATAATCTTTATATTTTTCTTGTTTTTTAAATAAAACTAATTTTACGGATTTTATCGCGTATATTAACTTATTTTTATATTCCCGACGTTTCGGGTGCTTTCCAGCACCCGTGGTCACGGGGGACTGAGTTGTTTGACGTCCTGCTGTCATAGTTAGCCCGGCTACCTTCAGTTTTTAATATTAATTTTTGGTTCGATTTATGCAGAATGAGCTTACAGTATCTTGAAGTCTAGCAGTGGTATACTTGGGTTTGGATTTGATTTTATTAATTATGGGATCCCAAGCAGATGGCAGCACCCATCCATCTTCTCTATTGAAATTAGGATGTTTTTTAATTTCAATAGCCTCGCGAATCATCCTTGGGAGGAATCGGTGTTCTTTTGCGAGGATTTGTGGTCTATCAAATCTAATGTAATGACGGGGACGATCCTGAACATGTTCATAAACTGCAGACTTCCCGATACGTCGGTGCTTCACGTCAGCTATATGTTCTTTAACGCGGGTTTTAATAGATCTTTTTGTTTGTCCTATGTACGAGAGACCACATTCACAATCCAGCTTGTACACTCCTGCATCTTGTAGAGGGATATGACACTTGACGGATGGTAAAAATTGACCAATCTTCTTCAGCGGCTTGAAGTATGTTTTAATGGAAGCTCGCTTCAAGATGTAGCCAACCTTGTCTGTGACTCCTCTGACATAAGGTAGTACAGCAGGCACACGCTCGACTGTGGCTGGCTTCACTCGGTCACTGTGACGTAGGTGCGGGACCCGAAGCTTGTTGTCTTGCAGTACTTGCTCGACGTGCTGAAGCTCGGCGGCCAGATGTTTTCTGTCACAGATCCCTCGTGCTCTCTGAAACAAAGATTTTCCCACGGTAGCTAACTGTGAAGGATGATGGTGAGATTCACCATTTAAATATCGGTTGGTATGGGTATTTTTTCTGTACACAGTATGACCAATAGTGTTATCAGGATTTTGGATGACTAAAACATCTAGAAAAGCTAAAGTATTGTTTGCCTCTAACTCCATTGTGAATTGTATTTTAGGGTTTATGGAATTAAGGTGGTTTAAAAATGCAGTTACTTTGTCAGATGGTAAAATTGTGAAAGTATCGTCTACGTACCGCTTGTAGAATCTTGGATTTACAGGAGCAGTAAGAAGGGCTTTCTCCTCAAAGTCCTCCATGAATGTGTCGGCGACTACGGGAGATACAGGTGAGCACATTGCCACTCCGTCTACTTGCATGTAGAACTCTTCTTTCCACAATAAATAGCCAGATGTGAGGCAGTGTTTGAGTAATACTGCATATTCTGTAGGCATGTTGTTATCTTCTAGCTTTCTAGTAACAATTGAGATGCAGTCTTCAATAGGTAGGCATGTGAATAGTGACTGAACATCAAAACTGACCATACTTTCATTGTCAGCGAGATGTAGGTCTTTAATCTCACTAACAAATTGGTATGAATCCTTTGTGTGTGCTCTGGTATGTCCTCTTAGTGGTGACAGTATTTTTGCCAAGTGTTGAGCCAACTTATAAGTTGGGTGCTTACTATAGGACGTAGTGGAGCGTTTGGTTTATATATTTTCGGTAACCCATACAACCTCGGTGGTTTGGCACATGATGGTATTGTCGAATTCACGTCAAGATCTAATTTTTCGGAGTATTTCTTTATTAAATCAGTAGTTGTTTTGAGTGTATTAGTTGTAGGGTCTATTTTGACCTTTTTGTATGTACTTACGTCCGATAAAAGTTGTTGTATTTTGAAATTATACTCTGACGTGTCCATTATTACCGTAGCATTTCCTTTATCCGCGCGGAGAATCGTGAGCTTGGGTCTGTTGCGTAAGTTGTACAACGCTTTAAATTCGTTTTTGGGAAGATTTAGTTTCGGCGCTGAACTTCGACGTAACAAGGACGAAATGTCTTGACGTATAGCCTCTAAATCCTCTTTACCGATATTATTCTTAAACAGACAATCCTCAACACTACAGATAATTTCCTCGTACGGGATTTTTTGCGGCGTTATAGCAAAATTTAAGCCTTTCGACAATAGTTTTATTGTAGGTTCGTCCAGTGTTTCTTTTGACAAATTATAGACCGTGCGTTGTTTATTGTTTGCGTCTGTAGCCAACGGTTGTTGCGTTTCGTTTCTACGTTGACATGGATGTTTGGCATTTGATTTGATAGTTAATTTTTGGTATTTTTCTATTTGTTTGTCTTTATTGTTATTTTTCTTGGACAAAAACTGCCACAAATTCATAAATCTTTTTATATTACTTATCCATTTCTCTATACTGGGCACTACATACATGACTATTTTTATTAATAAATTTTAAATTTTCTAGTTTTAACAAAGCTAGCTACCTGAATGCATGGTGTATACATTTTTCTGTAATAGCAATTCTTAATTCTTTCTCTCTTCTTTTTTAATTATCACCGCACTTCCATTTACACTGACAAATAGGTCATCCATAAAAGATACTATTTCTGCAGTATTTTTCAGTTTTTTGCTCCCTGGTCGCCCATCCGAATAATGAGCTGTAATAAATATTTAAATTATAAAATTTGAAATATAATTAAGTACTCTGTACAATATATTTAAGTTACAGAAGACGTTTGTGTTTTTATAGAATTAAACATGAAAGGCAAGCATCCATTTCTCTCGATAGTAAGTGAATGCTGTGGCCCACAGTCACCTACATTAATCCTCGATTAAGTATCAAAATGCAAATGCATTGTCACACTTGATGACAAAATAATGCCTTGTTACCAGGGTCTTTGTTTCTCACCACTCACCATATAAAATACTACAGTTTTATGGTGCTATCTATCTAATAAAATAATTAATATAATAACTTACAAAATGCAGAGGTATAAATTAAGGCTCCTGCCACGGTTTTACTAAATATACGAACATAATTCTTAACCTGCAAATAATCCAAAAGAATTTGATTAAGAATAAGTTTATTACATGTACAAAAATTAAATAACATGTAATTGAAACAAAATTACAATTATTTAATACCTTAATTTTTTATTATCAGGAATAACATATTTGTCATTAAGTTTGTGTAATAACCGTGTTTCTGCATGTTTACAGTCTGTCTTATACGCATCTACAATAGGCCTGCCATAAATTCCGAGACGCCGACCGGGACATTTAGAACAGAAATAGGGTAAATCATGGATTATACAAAAACACTGGTAATATTTAAGAAAATTTAATCAAAAAATAAGAAACTCTTACACTACGTCCTTTTTTTTTGCCCATTCATATTTCTCTGTACTTTTAACCTTTTTCAGTAATTCCTTTTCCCCTTTGACGTAATTATAAAATTCCGTGCATGACATTTTATAATTATAAACGCATTGAATGATGCTTTCGATTGTGCTTACACTGAGTGAACTTCGTTCTTTCGTCCACTGCGCTGAAATTAACGAAAACACTCGTTCTACGTGAGCATTGTGGCCTGGGATTGCAAAAATATATTGACACATTTTAAGAAGATTTGCTTTTCTTTCCAGTTCTTCGGTTTTTTCAAAAAAGTGTTTCCATTTTGCTTCCATATTTTTAGCTTTCCATTCATCGCTGATTTCACATTCAATAAACGATTTTAAGTACATAAATTCTTCATACATTGAATCATCTATTCCTATATCCTTTTCATTTAAATGTTTTGTAGTTTCTTCTACTTGTTGCCATTGAGGAATATCATTTAAAATCATCCAAGCGAAAACATCAAATTTTGTCATCGGCTCTGTCCACTGTTCGAGATAACATATAGCAGTGTTAAAGAAATCTCCTGTTTCTTTGTCAAATGTTTCGGATTGACTTGTATTAATTGTGCCTTCATTCTTTAGTTTGTTATAAAGTTGTGTTGTTTGATTGCCTAAATATTTATTTATCAATCTGTCACTCAACTGTTTTTTTGTATCCTGTAATACATTTTTCACTTCAACAATGGTAATAACTGATTTTTCAATCTTTTTAATTTGTTTTTCAATCAGAAATGCTTGACTGTGCACAAAAAGTGTGTAAACTTCTGATAAGGGATCAGCAAAAAAATCGACTACAGCTTTTGGGGCTTTTGCTTCCTTAGCGAAAAATTCTTTCAATGGCAGCCATAACTTTAGTATGCGTTCAATTGCTGGAAGTAGTGAAAGCCACCGACTTCTGGAATGTGAGAGTATATTGTTGTATTCTAATGCTGCTTGCTCACAAAAATCTTTAAGCCGTTCCACTCTTACAGTGAATATGGAAAAATACTTGAAAATTTTCAGAACAATAGACTCCACGTCAATCGACATCACATCGGCAGCAGTGGACTCTGTATTGTGCAGAATGTGCGCTGGGCAACCGATGCCTTCAATGTCTTTGGACAAAATCTCCTTTAATTTAAAAAAAACATTGTTAACTCCGTACCTATCTCTTCCGCCAAAGTTAGTGTTTGTGTTATCCCCGCTGAAAGCAACAATATTTTGTACGGGGATGTTCTGATCCTGCAACGATTTTATACAAAATGAAGTGATTGTATCAGATGTTTCATTCGGCAATGAGTCTATTTTTAGTAATTTAATTTGCAGTCCTTCTTTTTCCGTAAAGTACTGTATCAGCAGTGGAAATAACTTTTCGGCTTTGTGATTGCTAGAATCGGTTGAAATGCCGTAAAAAGGAACTTTTTCGACTTCTGTTTTAATTTGCGCGATCGAGTGTGGAGCTAAAATGTGTTTAATGATAGCAGTAGCTTTTGTTCTTGCAGTTGATTGTTTTGCTGCGATACTTGAATCAGGATACATTACGGCATTCAGTTTTGTCGTACAATCTAAAGAGCTAAACGATTGGTGGTGCTTTACGACTTTATAAGCTGTGGTCAGTTCGGCAGCGCATATTAACATGTCTTCGGCAGTACATTGCGTGATCATAAATGTCGATATATCTCTAGAAGTTGATGCAACTGATAATTTCGTCTTGTGATTTTTACTTTGGATATGGTCTTTGACACTTGACTTACCGCCGTGACTGACAGATATATGAAAGCCGCAAATTGAACAAAAGGCTTCATAATCATTTCTTCCTCTTTTAATGAATGACCACTCTTTAGTATAATCGTCCGAAAACAAACACTTTCTTTTTGGCATGACTTTTTAGCAAAATACCAGACTGGCAATAAAAAAACTAAACTACGAAATACAGGATAACGCGCAGCGCAAATTAAGTACGTTGTTCTCTAAAGCAATCAAACGAAACACTGCGACGACGCGTGACGTTCAAGGCGCGAGGGCGGAGGGGCACGCGGCGCGGGACGCGCACGTAGTGTTGCCAACTATACTTTAAAATAACGTATCTTACGGTATTTTGCTTGATTATACTTTATACTTTTGAATAAGAAAAAAGTATCTAAAATACTTTATTCTAACTTATGCGTGAAATATTGTGTGAATTGAATGAAAGCAAGAATTCTGCCAAATTTCTGAATTTAACTCAGTCCATTACTCAGAATTTCCAATCATTTTATACTTTCACACATACACAGAACAGAATAACAACAAAATACTTTATCATACAACTTTCGAAAAATCTGTACTGTCAGTACAGTCAAGTGTCAGTCAATGTCTCCAGTATATATTGTACTCTGTACTCTATGCTCAACGTTTGTTGTTTCGGTGGAATAGTAATAATTATAGTGTATATAACCGTCTGAAAGGAATATACGTTATTTTCCTTTGAAAAAGTTGGCAACCCTACGCGCACGTGTTAATAATCAAAGAAGGCAGCTAGGCTCGCTCGCTCGACTCCGCTCCACTTCAACCACTCGCCGATCGCAGACGCTGCACTTAACTACACAGGGGTAGCTTGCGAATTGTGTGCACACCGGGACAAATGACCTGTTGACCGGGACACCGGGACACAACGCTTCAAACCGGGACATGTCCCGGTGTACCGGGACGTATGGCAGCCCTAATCTACAATAATATAAGTCCATGTAGAAATATTTTCTTGGCATTGTATATTTTTTTGTTAAAAATTGTTTCGCATTAGTTTGATTAAATGTGGTGCATCAAATATGACAAGCATATTATAATCACTACTTACACATGTCATCAAACCTCACATACTTTCTAATTCTGGACATTAAGATACAAATTCTGTTAAATAATCTATGGCACTCTGTTATCATATTATAGTACCGAGGGACAAACGGTCCGACCTATTTCGTAAAGTATGCAATTAAAAAGTGAAATATTTATATATATATGTTACGGCCTACAGCTGCCCCTGCAAAGGTAGAATATCCCGGGGCCCATGAGCAGAAGATTCAACGAGCAGCCGCAGGTCGGGCCCCAAATGGCCACATGGAAAAATGTCCTATCATACTAAACTATATGGGAGAATGCTAGGAAAATATAGTACGTACCTGTTTCCGACTCTAAGATCGCCCCAAGGCTCGGTCAGGCCGTGAGTGGGTGTAAGGTGCATGGCAAGTAGTGTTTAGTGATGTGTATGTGTCTGAGACCTGGACCAGCTTAGGTGACCAGCAGCGGCCGAGTTCCAGGCTGCCCCACAATGCTGCATCGCTCCAGCAGGCTCCACCTCTGGACCATTTCTTTCTTCCTGTCATTATTTCAGTCTATTAACTTCATTGTATATTTAACTAACTTAAACTCGCCTAATTCCACATTCATCGCAGAATCGAACCCGTGATACCCGACGCAGCAACAGACAGTAGTTCAAAGTTCAACACTCAATGTCCCGGATTCACTTATCGCCAAATTATAAATAGGGAACTAACGCGATCTCTTCATGAGTCACACGGTTCAGTGTTAAACACAACTAAGTTCCTTCGTTCGACATCAAACACCACGCCGCAATAAGAATTCAAAATACGCCTAGTTGACACATAAAACTAACAAACCAGCCAACACACAAAAAAGGGCACTTAACACGACGGCACAACTACAATGATTTCCAGACAATCAACCGGGAGACGCTCTCGAACAAGGAATGCACGGTTCAAATCCTAGACTGTATATCTACTCGGCACGCGTGTGTGAAATTCCGCGTCACCCGAGCAAGTTAAATATTGCAAAATTCACTTAAACGCAATCACTATATAATTTGCACAATTACTTTCAAAGAAGTTACTTTAATCAGTCGAACACAATAAAAGCCTCTTGTCAAGAACTTAGACCCTAGACAACCTAATCCGAGGCGGTTTTCACGAAACACAATTCCGTAGCGAAGTAACACGCACTAAATCTAACCATCTGGACCCTACACCGGTCGCGTGAACTTCAGCAGCGATAACTGAGATACGCGGATTCACCGCATCGCGGCCAGCGAGCTACTCAACTCTCGCTCACGAGCGTCACACGCTGGGAAACTCCCTTCTGCTCCCCCTTACTTATGTTTATATAACTACTAGCTGATACCCGCTCGCAATGCTGGGCTGGGCAGGGCTAAACTATCGTCGAACTAAATTTCAAGTCATTCGGGAGTATAGTTTTAGAGATCTAGAATAACAATTTATTATTATAATGCATCGATCACTAATAATATAATGCTGATAAAACATGCTGTCGAGTTTTATTTTTTTTTAAATAATAAAACATGTTAATGTTTCAATATTTTCTTTAAGGATTTTGATAAGCGCTATATCGTTATAGTTTTATTGAGTGCGATACGTGGTTACAAGGATTCCCGGAATGAAGTAAGCTATCTATTCTGATAACCAATACAACCTTTGCAAAAAAAATAAGTCGCTTGCTTGGTTTGTTGTCTGCATAGCTTTCAAGAAAGAAATTTATAAATAAAAACGAATAAAACGAAATAGGACGTTATGTTGGTTAATCACATTTGACTTAGAAATATACGCTTAAAGTTATATGATTTCTTTGAGTAACTTAATATCCTACTGTAAAAATATTTTTGATATTTTGACTTAAACTAAAATTCAAAATTATTAATGAAAAAACTATCCTTTATTTTAAGCTTATAGAGTTGGCTACCTAATGAATGAACGTGAAGACACGGAAAATTATACATATTATACAACAGCAGTTATTATCTAACGAGAGATAATAAATAAAACCTTTCAACTAAATACATCGAACAGTTGTGCATCATGTTTTAAAATGTTATAACGGTTATTTCATTTTATCAATAGCAAGGCAGAGTCCATTTTGACACTGGATTTTTGGTGTGAACTTGAACGGCAGCGGATTGCTGGTACTGTTTAAATAATGGGTTAAAGTGGATTTTGATATATTAAAGTGGTGTGATTTTGTGTATTAAGTGTCTGCGCATGTGAACTATTAGTGGAAATGGTAAAACAAATATTCCGATAGTAATGTTAATCTCAAGATAAGGCGTCTGTCTGCTTTGGCCCCTTGTGATACTATCGTCAATTGTTTGCTGGCTCACGTTGCCCTCAAAATCTTCCAAAAACTACGCAACATGACGCATCAACATGTTGTGAAGCAGGGATAAAGGATTATTATCCCTTGATACTGAGATAAATGAAGACATGGCTTAAAAGATAAGCATCCGGGCCAAAAATCTTAATAATTTTTTTTTTACACATGACACCTTGTCAGCCCAGCTGTCCGAGGGGTTTGGCGGGAAATTGACCGACGGCTGTTTGCTGCTCCTGTATTATTGTTTAAATAATGGTTTGAAGTGGACTTTGATATGTAAAAGTGGTGCGATTTGTGTATAAAGTGTCTACGCATGTGAACTATTAGTGGAAACAGTGAAACAAGTGCTCTGATGGTGATGGATTCTCAAGATAAGCTGTTTGTTTGCATAGGCGCCTTTAGATACCATCGCCAACTGTCAGCTGTCTGCTGGATCAAGTTGCCGTCAAAATCTCCCAAGAACTGCACAATGTGACGCATCAACATATTGTGAAGCAGTGAACTATGAAGGATAATTACAAAAGACAAGGCTGTATGGCATAGTTCCTTTGCCTACTCTCTCGAGCGAATAATAAAAACAACAACAACCAGCTGTCCGATGTCAAAACAAAAAACAAGTTTATTCAATGGGCAAGCGGCAAGTTAGTTGCACTCGTGGCGCGTGTATGTTTAAATATCGGAATTATCAGAATTTCGCCCACTTGTGTGTATATTTATATCAGAGTGCATACCGCCCACGCTTTTCCGTTTGTAAACAATATTAAATATGAGCGGTACCATGTATTTTGGAGGCGTTGAAGGGTAAGTTATTCTTCAATAATATCTATTACACGTGTATTTAGTTTCTTGCATTGTTGAAAGTAGAAAGGTTTGCCTTGGACATGCCTAATTATTACGAAACAGCGGTTTAGCGGATATTACTCCCTATATTATTTTATGATTTCGTGCCTATACTATTTTATGGCATCGTTTAAAATGATACATTTTAATCATAAAAATTATTTTACTGAAATTTTAGATGACATAAAATTATACTTTGCATTTGCATTTGATAAAATATTACGTTTTTTATTTCATATTGCTATTCCCGCCAATCAGAAGCAAGGATTATGAGGTGTGTTGGCACACCAACAATTGAATTTAATTTTAGAATGCACTTTATATATTCAGTGAATACAAAATGCAATTCCGAATGTCAAGAATTTGCATTGATTATCGACCTTGAAGGTTTAAACATTTACTTTTATGGATATCTATTCCTACAAATAAATATAATTAGTGTCTTTTTGTACTTTGTAATGTCAAAATAACAGTTTTTTACTAAATGCATATGAAAGTATATACGGTACATAAAACCAAAAAACAATTTATAAATTTTTTGTCTATTTGGTCTGTTTATTCCGGCTTATCTCCGAAACGGCTGGACCGATTTTGACGAGATTTTCACTGGCAGACAGCTGATGTTATGAAGAGTAACTTAGATGACTTTTAATTTAGATAATTTAAAATTAAAAATTGTGTACAACCGACCTCAATATAAATTATTAAGAATAACTCAAAAACTATTGGTCAGTACCTTGATCAAATTGGACCACATGAGAAGCACCAGCTTTAAAATAAAAAAGAATAATCGAAATCGTTTCACACATAAAAAAGAACATTGAGTACCTCCTCCTTTTTGAAGTCGGTAGGAAAATAATTAGGGTCCCGAGCGAAAAAAAGTAAAGTCTATGACATTGTTGAACAAAAAGGGAAGTAAAATATAATAAATTAGTAAAAAATATTCTATACGAACGAAGTCGCGGGTACAGCTAGTCCTTACTTATTACTATAAGGCCGGCCACATACATACGGAATTCCGTTTCGGGATTCCGTTTCGATACTCAGATTCGGGATTCTCAACGCAACAAGTTGATATAAAATCTATGACCCGCCACACACGTACGGTATTTTTCCGTACGGAATTACTCCGATTCGAGATTTCGTATGACCGCCGGTGCGTTCGGAATCACGAACGGAAAAAAGCCGCTCCGAACGCAAGTCTTCCATAGATTTTGTTCGAGTCGGAACATACATACGTAAATTCCGTACGGAACGCGCTCAGTGTTCGTCGTGTTTATGTATGTTTTTACATTTAATCTTATAGGTGTATAGCTTTTCGTAACCTTTCATCTTATTTTATTTAATAATTCGACGAAAGAATTTACAGACATCCATATTTAAAAAATATCTCTGGATAGATAGATCTTTTTACATAATATTGACTATATTGCAAGCTTAGGGTGATAAGGGTACACCCAGTAAGAATAATACAGCAACAATGGAATCGCAATTAGAAAATTTTCGCTGGCAGAACGTCTAGACTCTATGGCTAACGTCTCTCGACTGACCCTAGTTATTTCGAACGGGAAAAAAAACGTATGATGTGTGTGATGTATTTTCGGGATTCCGAAACGGAATCACGAAACTGAATTCCGTATGTATGTGGCCGACCTTATACTATAAATATAAATCTTGCGTGCAAGTAATGTAACAAGTTAATAAAAATGTCAGTCAGTGCCTACTGCCAATTAATTCGTGAACAATAAAAACGTTTTATATGGAAGTAAGGTATCTATCTACATATTCCTCTATATATTCGTGAAATTAAATTACATATAATTTCCTTGAAATTTAAATACTTCGGATTTAAAATTACCTATAATTATTTTTAAAATTACCTATGAAATTGCCGTTCTGCAGTACTGGCCATTTCAAATCAAATTAATTTTTGTTTGGCTTTAGAATTCTTAGCCAAACAAAAATAAAAACATGGAAGTCTTTTTTTCAAAATTAGTCATTTGTTTATTGATTAGCGTTATGGTTTCATCGCAATTGAATAATTTTCATCATCATGGATACGTTAAAAATTGGAGTAATTCGTTGTTGACGCTGCAAACTGCAAAGGGGCGAACCTCAATTTTTCAAAAAATTACAGTAGAGCAAGAAAACATTTATTATTCCCCGATTATTGGCTTTTTTCATCAGAAAATTAAATATATTAGACTTAATGGACAAATGAATTCTTCTTTCACAACCGCCTTTTGAAAATTTCGACCTGTGAAATGAACCCCGTGGTCGTCCGTTAACTGGTGGACAATAACGAATTAAAGGCGGTTGTGGAAGCTAATGATGCTCAATCTACGGCTGTATTAGCAGCAGCTTTCTACGTTAGCATCAAAACAATATTGGTTCATTTGCGTCAAATTGGCAAGGTAAAAAGGTTGACAAATGGGTGCCCCACGAAGTCAATGATCGCCAGTTCGAAGTACGCGTCGAGACATGCCTTGCATTGCTCAACAGGCACATAAACGAAGGACTTTTGAACCACATTGTTATCTGAGACGATAAACAGATTCTGCTTGACAATCGCAAGTGTTCCGCAAGTTGGTTGGATCCTGGTTAAGTACCTAAATAATGCCCTAAACGAAAACTTACCACTAGAAGCGATGGTCACAGTTTGATGGTCTAGTATCGGTGTGATTCATCACAGCTTCTTACCAAACGCGATGAGCATTACTGCAAATGTGTATTGTGAAGAACTGAACACAATGATGGAGAAGCTCTCACGTCTCCAACCAGCTTTGGTCAATCGCTCGTACCCACTGCTCCTGTACGACAATGTGCGACCTCATACTGCACAACAGACGGTCTCCAAGTTACAAGAGCTGGGGTCGGAAGCTCTCTGACATCCGCCGTACTCATCAGACCTTGCGCCCACAAATTTATACTTGTAGTCGCAAGGTCGGATAACTTTTTGGCGGGGAAAAAAATCAATACACGAGAGGCAGTACAAAATGCCTTTGAAGGATTTGTTGCCTCCCGTCCAGTTGATTTCTTCAAAAAGGCCATCAATAAACTGCCACTGCGGTAGCAAAAATGCATCGATTGCGTGAGTGATTGTAGAAATAAAAAATATAGAAAAAAAATTACGTTTTAAATTTATTTTTTAAAAAACGGCAATGTCACGAATAATTATGACGGACTTCAGATTTCAACAAGTTATAAATTTTTGATTTTACCAAAGTAGGTACGCGAGTATTGTCAGACAAGTGTTATAACCAGGTATAGCAGAAACAGAAACTGAAACTTTTTTATTTAATACAAGCATCCAGACCCGGAACAATTTTTTGTAGGCCTTACAAATTAATGTTTCGTATTCGGATGCCGCACGGAACAATTGAAGGGTATGGAGAGCCTGTAGGTATAATTACGAGTTGTGAGGCATTCCTAGCAGTTTCTATTTGAAGTTGCAAGTGTTCAATGGCTACAGTAGCTGCTTACTATGGCTTGACTGTAAGATCGTTTGTTACTACAATATATATATATATATATATATATATATATATACATAAATAATTTAAAATTAAAAATTTTGTACAGCAGACTTCAATATAAGTTATTTAAGAATAACTTAAAAACTATTGGTCTGACCTTGATCAAATTCATATGGGACCACACGAGAAGTACCAGCTTTCAAATAAAAAAAGAATCGTCGAAATCGGTTCACCCAGAAAAAAGTTCTGAGGTAACACACATAAAAAAAAAAACGAAAAAAAAACATACAGTCGAATTGAGTACCGGCTCCTTTTTGGAAGTCGCCAGAAAAAACTAATTTAATATACAATCAGTCCATATTTGTTCAGCGTATGCGGGCGAAATGGGTCGATCGCAAAAGTTTAATCGAACTCCGACGTCACCAATGAAATATTTAATTGCAATTTTAAGTTATCGGCAGTTAAAGAAAATCGTGTTTAAACCTTGTAACCGAACGATTTGAGTAATATAACATAGTTTTTCCCAAAATCAGTCTATTGTGAGGCGGTGGAAGAATATCCACTACCCCATATCGTCCCCTGAGTGTCGTAAGAGCGGCAGAGCGAAACAAACCAGGAAATGGGCAGCAGTGGCTTATTAATAACTAGCTGTTCTCCTGAACTGATCTCTCTGAACCCTAATTCTTTTTCTAAAATAAAAGTGGCCTATGTTACTCCTTATAACATCAGGTATCTGTCGGTGAAAGTCCGTCTAAATCAGCCTCCCCTCCCCATTTTGGAGATTAGCCGGAACAGACAGACAGACCGACAGAAAGACTGGACAGACAAAATTTTTAAGTCTTGTTTTTGTTATAAGTATCGTATATACTTTCATTTGCATTTAGTACAAAACTGTTATTTTGACATTACAAACGGACACTTCAATTTAATTTATTTGTAAAGATAGATTATTAATAATATTTATTGAAATTCACACTTTTGTTTGATTAGCAGTGGTTCCGAAAGAAACCTCTGTCCTGGGAAGAACCACCAAGAAATCCATCGGGACATTTAAAAATAACAGCTTACAATCATTTTATGTTACACAATTAACAACACAAAACAAATTAGGAATAGCTTGGTGGCGTTCATCTCATTCCCGGGGATTATTATCATTTATAATACTCGTAATAGCTATAGCCATTCATGATCGGTGGGCTTTTGTGTTGCATTTCTTATCTTAAAACTGTGATAGTGCGTGTTACGGAAGTGGTTATATCGGAACCGACTTCGGAAGCGGAGTTTTTAAATTTTGCTTGACGGAACCGGAATCGGAGGTGGAGGCAGAAGAGATGTGTTAAGGGTAGGTCTATTGCACTGTATTTTTCTTATCAGTTTCAAATTTTTTGAATTCTTCAAATTTAGTGGCATGCACAGACTTTAAATGACTTTTTAACGAAATAGTCGTACCTCCCTTTCGTGAATATATCGATTCACATATCTTAC